CAAAAAGAGTATTTGATTATAATGATTATTTTAAAATAGTCATTGGATATTCTCGAATAAAGCAACTGACCCTCAACTGTGCTGTCTTGTGGAATTAAGAGGAAGGGTATTCAGAAAAGTGGTTATGAATGTTTCTGAGAACATAGCTCTCATACTTGAGTCCTCAGAACACAGATTCATTAGACAGCCAACCCTAAGCAACAAGGAATGGTGAAGACGTGTCCAGCTTGCTAAGCAGCCTGGCTCTTCTCCATATGGGGAATTAGTCTGTCTTGTCTTTTGCTGAAAAGGATCACATTTCAGCTCAAGAGTAGCAACATAGATTTGGTCAAGGACTTCTCCCCTAGCTCCACCCCTTGAACCTACACACCCAGATGGGAATGTGGTGGTTTAGCAAATTGAATGCAAGTTCAGAGATTGCTTTAAACAACAAAAGCAAGAACTTGATGTAATTTGCAAAAAAAAAAAAAAAAAAAAAGAGATACACATACATACATACATACATAGAAAGAAAGCAGCTAGTTGCAAAGTAATCAAAGAGCAAATAACACTGGAACCTAATTTGCCAATTGCCTCATGTCTAAGTGGACGTTCAGAACCAGCTGGATACCACTGAAGCCTGCAAAGTTAACCTCCCATTTAACTCTTTTTTGATCTTAGTGCTTAATGCAGGCCAACATCTGCTCACACATTAACTGTGGAGTACTCCAGATCAAAGAGCCTGTAATTATCTGAGATTTCTTCAGAACTTAAATTTCACTAGCTCAACTAGTAAGATAAAAAGATAACTTAGGTATAAGCACCTGAATAAACCTGCTAGATATTCGAAGACAGCAGGGTAGAGGAAGATGCCTGTAACAAATACTGTTCACACACATTTGTTTTCTACTTCACTTTAAAAGAATGTAGGAAAACCATTTTTCTTAACTGGCAGACATTAAAGGGTTTCAGCTGAAAGTTACTAAAATGTTACAAATGGTTCACTAAAGTACATAAGAACAACTTTCACCTAAGGATGTCAAAGCGTCTAACAAGATGGGGTAACATTAAATCAAGAAAAGTTTAAAACAGAAGTTCATTTTAGTATTAAGAATATACCATCCTGCATGTTATTTGGGTTATAGCCCCAAATACACCTGAATTGTAGGAAATCCATGTTTGTGTCTTGGACTCTGCCATAGTGCCGGCCTGGTACGTGGTAGATGTTCAATAAATGTTTGTTGAGAGAATTGTAAAAAAAATAGTTCACAGGTCTCATTGCATTTCCACAAGTATAAGCAAACTTGTTACTTATGGAATGCATGGGGTCAAGCTTGACTGCTGGTTTATTGGCTGTTATTAAGTCATTTTATTATCCAAATTTAGCCAATGTCTACCTTTAAGTAAAGGCAGTGATATATCTTGCCAAATAAATGATGGAAAAGAATAAAAACCAATTTAAATAACTGTTAAGTCATACACATTGTCATATCATAGTCTTATAAGAAACCCCACCATTATCTAACACATTCTTTAACCTCTGCTTAAACTCTTCTAGTAATAGAGAAGACACTATGTCACATGGTAACTCATTCTGGTTAGGGCATAGATTTGATCATTATATAAATGATCCTCCTCATTTGGAAGTGAATTCTGCCTCCCGTAAATTCAATGCTTTGTATCTATATAAAAGCCCTCTAACTTTATGAAGATCCTTCAAATATCTGAAAAACATTATTATGTGTTCTTTCCCTCTCATTTCCCCAAACTGAATATCCTCATCCAAAATAAACATTCATATTCTCTAAGACATGGTTTACAAGCCCTCCTCCCTATTTTGGGCATCTTCCAGTCTGCTTATGCCATTTTTCTAATATGAAATACTAAAACCGGAAAAAAAATTATTTTAGACTTTTTTTCTATGATCATTGTCTTGTACATGCTTGACTTATATTAAGCTTGATATTAACTGACACTTCGAAGATGTTTTTATGTCAATTACTGTTACACAACATCAGCCTATCCTTTATTTGTGTGACTAGTTTTTGTTTCTGAGTTTAGGACTTTACATTTATTTACATTTAAAAATTTTCATCTCAATTTGTTTTGCATAATATTTCAAGCTATCATTATAGACTACTGAGACTTCTTCAGTCTTGAGTCTGTCATTCATGTGACATACATTGTATTAGCTTATCCTCTCCTAAACCAACGGTGAAATAAATACTAAATAAACTCAAAATCAAGTCCAGGAACTTCTCTCTGAATCCTATTTTCAGCTTCTGTAAGGCTCCATGCAGGGGAAATTTACGTGTTCTAAGTGCCTTTGAGCCAGAAGTATCTTTCAGCATTTTGATACCCAGAAATGACTAAATGCCTCAGGGCTTTTGTTTGCTTTAGGTTAAAAGCTGGAGAAGTTTCAAACTGTGTAGGAATCTTTTCTTTAAGCGATGGTATTTCATTTCAGTTTGAAGTCCTGTTTTCAAATGGAACCTTAAGAGACTTCTACCTTTCCTTTCCTTTTCTTCCACAATGTCGATCTCATTTTATGTTCCTCCCAATCTCTACTTCACCCTTACCTCAAAAAACTTTATTCTTTTCTTAAGAGATCATGTTAATCCATCAAGAGGAAACACACTGGAGAGCAGGAACCCAAAACCACCCGAGTGGAGAGACAGACACAAGCACAGAGTGAGACTGTACTTCACATCTGGAAATTCCCTTATTCCTCTTTTGCTTCTCTCCTGTCGGTATTATTTTAATATGAAATGGAGCTGAATTTGAACTGTATAAATAGAAGCCCTTAATAAAATGTACATCATAGCAAAATGATGGTTTAATGAAACCTAGAGATTAGAGTTCTGCTTTAAGTCAACAAGGTGTTATTTTAACAAACTTCCGAGCTCTAAAGATGTAGAGCACAGTTTACAGGTATATGGCACGCTCAGAGATCTGCTACCTACAGGCTCTGACTTGCAATCAGAGGCATTTATCTCATTTGGTTCAGGCAAGGCAGTATCATGTGCAGCTGAGATCCTTTCAGAATAAGAGTTGGAAAACTCATAGCTTGGCCACTCCCTTGCTCTGTGACTTTGGACAAGTCATTTAATCTATGTGGGCTTGTTTCAACTTTTATAAATTGAGGTGGTGCTGAATTAAATCATCCTGAAGTCTCTTTTAGTTTTAACATTATCATTCTTCTAAACATGCTTTTATGCATGAAGTTTACAATGTTTGTGATTATAAAATGATTCATTAAAGAAAAATTAGACAAAATAAAGAAAAATCTTTGTAAAATCACTACCTAAAAACAACTGCTGTTATTTTTCTAATTCTATTGTCTATACATATTTCTACATAATATTTAAATACTAGACGTTTTTGTTCACCTGGGGCTCCTCCAGCCTGGGTGTACATACCTTACACCAATGTGACCTGACCTCTCTGGACACTGGATACAACCACAGTCCATTCTAACTAACAAAGGACCTAGAAGTTGTGGTTTGACTGAAACAAACAAAAAAATGAGCTAGACCACTCAATTTAGGAATTTGGAATTGGGAGATTGAGAAATGAAATTAATTAATAATGAGGTTGAGATGAGCAGATGCATGATATAATAGAAGCTAAGGAAAACATTTTGGACAATGTGCACACTGAAGTTATGACGACAGCAAAATTATGTTTAAGGGGAGGAGGTTGAAGTGGTAGAGCGAGAAATATGGAGTAGGCATGCAGGGAGAAGGCTCGAGAGGAAAATCTAGTAGCCTGAGAGAAGACCTTTGTGCTTAGTAATTTTCCAGATTCAGTTTCTAAGAGGTCTATCTGTTGTTGACTCCTATGCATTGATTCTCATGAGGCTCCTGACACATACTTAAAATAAAAGTCCTTTTATCTCAGCTGGGTCAATGTTACTGGCAACCAAAAGAGATCTGACTCAATTTAAATTTGAATTAAGATATTTTATTGATGATTATAAACTATTTCCCCAAGTTACTGCATATGGTTTAGATGCATAGTTTTCAACGGCTAAATAATAATGTATAGTAGGATACATTATATAAAGAACCTGAATGACAGTGAAGCTGATTACTGTTAATGCTGTTAGAATTATTCCCTAGGTATTAAAAAATCTAAGACCTGAAGTTACCCAAAGGATTCTGGAAAATCTCCAGCATTCTTTCAAGGATCGTTTTACCTGCCAGAAGAGGACACACACACACACACACACACACAGACACACAAACACACACACACAGAACTACACAGCTTAATCAGTAGAATTTAACATGGAGAAATTCAGCCTGACTTCAAAAAAGTCTCTTGAGTGCTGTTTTCCTAACTTAACCCATTACAAATGTTTTTATGAGGGCACAGTGGGTATTCTCCAGCTTCCCCATGCCATCATAATTCAGACATAGCCCCACCCTAACCTGATCTTAGTCATGGAATAAGAAAATCCGGGACAAAGGCCACTGTGAAGTTCAGATGAGCAGGTTAGGCACACAGGAACAACACGTGCACCTTAACTCTAAATCTACATTTTCTAATAGAAAGATTAAAAGAATATAAAATGCCATGATTATCTTTATAAGAAAGGTCAAAGTGGTATCAGTTCATAGACGAAATGGTATCAGCTCAAGCAATGGTATCACCAATGCTTGGTAAAGCCTCCAGCAAGCTATGAGGAATCTAGGCTCCATTCAAAATATGATATCAAATGTTGCCCTTTGCAAATTTGGAAATTGCTTAAGAAAAAAAAATTCTATCCCCTTCCCTCACACAAATTTTATCCACATGGTAACTTGAAAATTCTCCACTAGCTCCTTTTTCTCAACATGATAGGACAATTAGTCTTTCTAATCTGGGTTTCTCCCAAACCCCTGAACTCACACCAATTCTCTCATAAAATTACCCCAATTCAGTATTATTGAATACAGCAGAGACACACCCACTGTTTTAATTAAAGAGGCAAAGGCATCTCTGAATAGTCTTTGAGTGCTTTGCCTTGTCTTTTTCAGGGAGTTGGTGACAGACACTGTGATATCGCTAAACCACCTATAAGGTAAGTGACATAAAGTTTTTGTGTTTATTCATATTATTTAAAATGTATTGTGGACCTACTTAAGCATTAATTCTGAGAGAATAGAAAATGAAGTATGTAAAAGCATTTTATAAAATCTAAATATACTTACACTCCAAATGGAGTGCTTTGCTTTTGCTGGAAGGACAAATAGGCAACGAGGTCTATTGAACAGATCAGAACATCACAGAACATCACAGACTTGGGTTCAAATCCCACTGCCCGTTTAACCCTTGGCAAGGTCCTCACCATTTCATGTTTTGATTTCCTCATCTATAATATAGCATCATTGATGAATTATGTATTTAATCAAGGTTAAATGTATTTTGTATTAGTGATGCCTCCCTTACTAAGTTAATGAGAATATTAAATGATATCTGTAATGTGTATGCCATAAAAAGTAGTCTTAATGACATCAGAGTTAGATAGGAATGTCTCTGGTGTTCCATAATTAGCTATGAGCTGGCTATTATTTTCCACTATTATAAAAACTTTCCTGGAAAATCTTCCAATCAAAATATAAAATGTGAAATTGATTTTATCTCTTTTCTAGATATTTTATTTCTAGCTATACAGATATACATCTCTTTAGAAAGCCCAGGAGAGTGAATAAAACATTAGAATTAATGTTTTAAAGGTTCAGTATGGTGACCAGATTCAAAATACATATTTAAAATTCACAAGTTGTTTTGTGTACTGTCAACCATAAATAATGAGATTTAGAAAATGTGTGTGTGTGTGTGTGTGTGTGTGTGTGTGTTTTAGGTAAAGTTTCACTTTCACCCATGCAGGAGTACAGTGGTGCAATCTTGACTCACTGCAACCTCCACCTCCTGGGCTCAAATGATCCTCCTACCTCAGCCTCCTGAGTAGCTGGGACCACAGATGCATATCACCACACTGGACTGATTTTTTTTTTTATTTTTATTTTTTTTTTATTTTTGGTAAAGACCAGGTTTCACCCTGTTCCCCAGCTGGGCTCGAACTCCTGAGCTCAAGTGATCCCCACCCGCCTAGGCCTCTCAAAGTGCTGGGATTACATGCATGAGCCACTGTGCCTGGCCTAGAAAACATGATTAAATATAGAGTCTATAACAAACTCCATATTTAGTGGTCTTAACGGGCATCCCTGTCTTGTTTCCCTATATAGTTTATAAAAAACTAAATACTTAATCATCATCCAAAGCTTGAGAATGGTCACCTGATGGATAAATTTAAGTTGTCTTGAATATACACTCTGATTTGTGGTAGTTATAGGTGGGTTTTTATGGAAAATAGAAGTAGTAGTTCTTAAGGTATTTAACAAGAATTTATATTAAGTTAATATAAACTATTAATTGACTATATATTGGTTTTTGTATCACAATTTCCAGGAACATGAAGATAATGAGTGAGGCAGTTAGGAGGAAAAATGGCTTTAAATAATTATCCCCAGGCATGAATATGGGGCTGAAGTCCCATACTCATGTCTCTGGGCCTGATAAATTTTGTATATCTCAATTCAGACTGCTCTGAGCTATTTTTCTTTTCTTGGTATCATAAACTAACAGGGAATGAATTAACTTTCCAATGATGACATAAAAAAAAATCTGGATCCCAGCACTTTGGGAGGCCGAGACGGGCGGATCACGAGGTCAGGAGATGGAGAGCATCCTGGCTAACACGGTGAAACCCCGTCTCTACTAAAAAAATGCAAAAAACTAGCCGGGCGAGGTGGCGGGTGCCTGTAGTCCCAGCTACTCGGGAGGCTGAGGCAGGAGAATGGCGTAAACCCGGGAGGCGGAGCTTGCAGTGAGCTGAGATTCGGCCACTGCACTCCAGCCTGGGCGACAGAGCGAGACTCCGTCTCAAAAAAAAAAAAAAAAAAAAAAATCTGGAGGAAAACATCAACCTCAATCCTCACCTCATCCTATACATCAAAGTCATTCATTCCATAATTGTTTCAGTGTTAAATGTAAATACTGACATCACAGAAAAATCGGAAGTAAAGAAAGGTGATGATATTGAGTCACTTCAGTAAACACACACATCCACCTGTAGATTTAACCATATAGAGACAGAGATATATAGATATAGATACTTATTTAGATGTCAAAAAGTGTAATACAGTAGAAGCATGATACAGTTGGCCTACCCACCATTTAATGAAAGGAGCAGTGGCATCTCTGAATATGAAGTCTTCTTTTATTGAGTGTTTTGCCTTATCTTTTTTCAGAGATAGGAAGGTCAACTGTACTACACCATTTTGTACCAGGGACTTTAGCATACAGCAGGGACCTCAGCTTTTACTATCTGCAGGGGTCCTGTTACCAATCCCTGCAGATACTGAAGCATGACTGTGACAGAATTAACCCAAGTTACCTGTGTCACTGGAAGAGGCCCAGGGGAAGGTTCCTCAAACCTCACTGTATTATATGTGTGTCGAATGCTATATATTTGATTAAAAAAATTATTTCCTAGATAGAAGAGACCTTTTTTTCAGTCTAAGTTTTATAAGTTTCTATATCCACCTCCTAGAGTGTCTATGACAAGTTTCTATATCTACCTCCTAGACTCTAAAGCAGTATTAAAAAACCCTGTTTTTTAAATCTCAACCAATTCATCTTTTACGCCCAGTGAGAAACATTTGCATGTACATCATCTTCATAAAGTTTTATGAAAGCCTTAAAAGATAAAACAGACAATAGGGGAAATATTTGTTTTAAAATATGACAGGATTATTTATATTTATTATGTGAGTTTAACCTAAATAATAAACCTGGGCTTTTCAAACTCCTGGTAAGGCCCATCCTACCCCAAGGACACATCCAAACAAAACACAGATGAAATCCCGTGACCTTGAGGAGTATTGCAGACACTTTATTAAAGACTGCTTTGTTTTGTTTGGAGGAGCAGAGGTATTAATAGCAGGAAACAAGAGATTTCACTGCATGAAACACAGTAAAATTTATTAAAAATCCTCTTTGCCCATCCCTTTCATCAAAGCCTCATTAATCAGAGCAGCTGCTCATACTCCTTATTATCTTGTACCCAAACTGTAGCCCATCCTGGCTTTTTTCTTATCTTCCTCTTATCCCTCCTGCTAAGTAACTCCAACCTATTGCTGTTTTCATAAATATTCCCCCAGCCCCCAATCAGGTATCTCTATATTTCCACATCTAATTTTAAAAAAATATATGTCCATGCTTTTTCTTATGTTTATCAATTTAGCCTGTACTCTCCCAACCCCACCTCACTCTAATCAGCAGAGTTCAACATTCCTCCTTATAAGCAGAGAAATGAGGAACAGAAAAGAGAGAAGGGGAAAGGTGGAGAGATTATGAAACAATTCCACAATTAAACAAATATATGATTTAATATATTTCTTTTTTATCCCTGTCGCATATATTTTTTTAAAGTCAGTATTAAAATACTAAAGTTCGAATAGAAGAATGGATCAAGGAAATGAACATGTATTATACAGATGCAGACATATAAAAAACAGTCATAGGAAAAAATAAACCCCACTACTAAATAAATAATAGCAAATGAAAACAATGAGATTTAATTTATTGAACTAGCAAAGGTTAAAAATTATAATATTCAGGCTGGGCACAGTGGCTCATGGCTGTAATCCCAGCACTTTGGGAGGCCAAGGGATGTAGCTTACTGAAGGTCAGGAGCTCAAGACCAGCCTGACAAACACGGCAAAACCCCATCTCTACCAAAAATACAAAAACTAGCTGGACGTGGTGGCCCGTGCCTGTAATCCCAGCTACTAGGGAGGCTGAGGCAGGAGAATCACTTGAACCTGGGAGATGGAGGTTGCAGTGATCCAAGATTGGGCCACTGCACTCCAGCCTGAGCAAGACACTGAGACTTCTCTGTCTCAAAAAAAAAAAAAAAAGAAATTATAATATTCAGTGCTGATGGAGGTATAGTGAGATTGGCATTCTTAAATATTGCTAGTAAAAACATAGACTGAACATACTTTCAAAAACTAATTAGGTAATACATATTTTAAAATTTTATTTCTAACCTTTGTTATTCATTTCTAGGAATAATTGTAAGGAAGTAATCAGAGAAACATACACAGATCTACATATAAGTATGTTCATCATTTATTTTAACATTATTTATAATGACAAAAATTAGAAACTACCAAAATGTCCAGAATTGGTTGTTGGTAAAAATAACTTAAGCTATAGTAATACACTCAAATATTAGTTATTAAAATTGAGATATTTGAAATCTATTTAGTGACATTGTAAACTGCTCATGAAAATATGAAGCTAAAATGAATAAGGTGCATGAACTAGCAAAGACGAACTACATATGCTGAATTATCTAAGTTATATAACACAAATGTGTGCACACATGGAAAGAAAATACAACAAAATATTAACTATGGTGGTCTTTGGATTGTGGAAATTTTCGTTTCCTTTTTGACATTCCCTGATTTTTCCAAATTATCCATAATGAGGAAAAATAAAGTATTACTTCCATAATCAGAAAAAGAGTTTAAAAAAAAAAAAAAAACAAGAAAAGACATCCAAATTCTATTGTAAATAATCAAATGACATTTCTATTTGTCATTAATTAACATTCCAAACTCATGGATGAAACTTAAAGATTAAATCCCTTGTCCCTGGAAGAGACTTTCTTGAAGATAAAATATACCACCCTGGTCCCAGGTAATTTGATAAAGTTGGTGGAGATTAGGAAAAGAAGTGGGAAGAGAAAATTATAGAACATAATGAGAGCTGTACGGTTTCATGAAAAGCCTTAGTTACTTTAAACTAAGGGTTTCTAAAAACAACTTTAAAATAGATTATCTCCACAATTTTATCAACAAATGGTAACATCTTTCCTTGGTATTCTTGGGTTGTTTTTATCTTTTTTTTTTTTGCATGACAATAGTCAACAAATTATTGTTGAGCACTTGATACTAAGAATAGGATTTGATCTTGACCAGATATGATTGCTTAGCACGCAAGCCTTCTGGACATATCAATTACAAATTGCACACAGAATCATAGAGCCGAAAGTTAATGTTAGAGAAGGAACTTGGTTGATTTTTGAATATCATAGCTTAATCTAATCATCCACTGTTTTATTCAAGCCTCCCATCTTCCCCTGGAAGAGTTAGGTAGGAAGATTAAAACAGTTAAGAATAAATCCATCTTCACCATTAGAAAGCCATCTCAGAGTGTGTCCATTCGTAGAAATTCCTGAGGACAGTATCTTAATTTATCATACATATGGAGTTCTTCTGGTCCTTAAAAACATCCCATATGGATGTTTTTTTTGAAAAAAAAAAAAAATACCTTCTCAGAGAATTCTTGCAGTACTATCTACTAGTACTAGTATTCCTGGAGTACTATATTTTAGGATAGTTCCAGAACTGGACACCCCTGCAACAGCCAGTAATGCCTCTGAGGAAACCAAATAGCCAAACATGAGTTAAGAGTTCCTCTCGGGAAATAGCTTCTACCATTATTGAGCCCCCACCCTACTGTTATGCTGGACTCTATTCTAAAGCAGTTATATCCACTTTGGTCACTTGGGGTGATTTGGAGCCAATCACCACATAAAGCAACTCAACTCAAGGGTGACCACACTTGTCGAAGTTTACTCTAAAAAAAAAAAAAAGTTGTATTATAAAATAAAATGCAGTTACCAAAAAGGGCATAAAATCTGTATGTACAGTTTAATAAGTAGTTATAAAGGAACACCCATATGGCTATCAACCAAATTAAGAAGAACATTGTCATCACCCCTAGAAACACCCTGTGAAGCCCTTCCTTGTCATAACCCACTCCCTGAGTTCATCTGAAACACTATCTCTCCAGCCCCAGCAGAGATTCTTGGCTGGGATTTTATCAGCACTGAAGAAGTGTTAGAAAGACTTTCCCAAAATAGTCCTTACTGTACAGCACACGGCACTTTTTTGGCATTTAATAAGAAGGCTACTATTTTCAAAAATTTCTCATTGATCATAGGAAATAACTGTTTTCCAGGACATAATAGGCATAGATGTTCTGGAGGACAGCTTGCTTTAGCAGTGTTAAATAATTCAGCTTGCTTTTTAATGATTATTTCTAAAAGGACATTTTAAGCAATTGACATTTTAAGCAATTTACATTTCCTCTTCTGAATTATATGTTTATATCACTTAGCTATTGGATGCTGAGTATTTTTCCTATCAACCTGCATGTATATGCATATGCATGTATGTGTAGAAAAACAGATGTTAATTCCTTGTCTGCCATATTTGTAACTAATATTTGCCTCAGCTTGCTGTTTAAGAAGGCATAGAAGTTCTTAATTTCATTTAAATAGAACATACTGACCTTTTCCTTTGTGATTTTTTCCAATGACTTTGAAATAATTTGAATGGGCATTTCCAAACATACACAAAAGAAGCAGGGATATTATAATAAACCCACATATCTTACTACTTGGCACGATAACTATCAACACTCTGCAATTCTTCTTTCATCAATTCTCTCCCCTTTCCCCAGGGTTCTTTTGCTGAAGCATTTCAAAGTAAATCTCAGATATAATGTTATGCCATATATAAATACGTCAGAGTATGTCTCTAGTGGATAAGAGCTTCTAAAATACAATAAACACACTCATCAACATTAACAGTAATTCCTTCATGTCTGATATCCAATCACGCTCAGTTTTTCCTGATTTTTAAAAAATGTCATTTCAGAATTTGATTTTTGAATCTGTATTAAAACAGGATCCATGTGCTATATTTGGTTGGTATGTTATTTTAAGTTCTCCCTCTTTTATCTATTCCAGGCCATTTATTCGTTGAGGAAACTAGGTCACTAATCCTAAAGAATATTATGCTTTCTGGGTTTGGATGATTTATCCTGGTGATGTCATTTACTATATTCCTTTATCACTAAATTTTCAATCAAGTCGTAGTCAGATTTACAGATTTGATAAGCTTCAGGTTTAATATCTTTAGGCAGAATACTTCATAGGTGGTGCCATAAACTTCCTATTGCATCATGTCATGAGACACATAATTTCTGAGTGTCCCACGTTTAGCAATGTTAAAATTAATTAGTGATTTTGGCATCGTCAGCCTGATGTATCCTTTACAAAATTCCCAAAGAGCTAATGGTTTTAATAGGCATTAATTGTTGCCTAGATCCACTAGCACCCTAGGGCTCCAACATTTTTAAGCGAAGAAAGTCGTACTCTAATAAAATATCATTAAAGAATCACCAAGATGTTTTCCAAAATTTTATTTATTTATTTATTTATTTATTAATATTCAATTCTTGGAATTCATTTTGGTGTACAAAGTTAAATGAAGATTTAGATTGATTTCTTCCAGAAAGGATGTGTCCCAAGAAGGTCTGAAGATAAGTAGTCAAAATGGTCTTTATCACATCATCCATCTAGTGATGGAATTCTGACAAATTCGTGTTTTTCTAGGGGGAATCCTAAACTGTTTTCTAAACATTTAATAATTTTCCCAATGCTCTCAGTGTCCTGGCATTAGAACATTGATGAGAGAGCGGTTTCATTATTTACAGAGATCCTATAGTAAGACTCAGTCTGAGTGAATAGCTGAGAAAATTAGGTGTCTGTTGCGTCCTCTTACAGTGAGTAGGACTTCTATATCAGAATGGAAAACTAACACTCTTGTGATTACTCAAGGTTTTGCTGAATCACTAAGTTTTTGAATCTTGAAACTGTCAGCTTTTTATTTCTGCAAACCATCATTTTGCCACTGAAGGAAATAACCTTGAAAAATCTGTACACATGACATACAACTCAAATTTAAGCAGAAGTAGTTACATTTCCTTTTCCCCTTCTTTAAGAAAAAGAACACACTTGCCTGTTTCCAAATGTTGGCACTTTGTGCCTGCTCCTTAAGTTAGTAGAAATGAAACTTATTGTGAAAGTAATTATGTGGGCCATTTCTTTTCTACCTTAGGAAAAATAGTATCAGATGTTTGGCTTCAATCAGGAAAAAAAGAAAAGAAAAGAAGAGAAGAGAAGAGAAGAGAAAAGAAAAGAAAAGAAAAGAAAAGCTGTAAGGCTTATTATGAATGGTTTCCCTGACTCCAAAAATTTCCATTCAAATTAATGCTAGGTTAGTCTTCAAAAATTTTTATCACATTATGTTTTTGCTCAAGAACTATCTATAGTCCCCTACTGCTTACCAAATCAAATTCAAATTCATATTCTCTTACTATAGATCCCTCACCACTTAGCCATGCTTTCTTCTCCCACTCTTTTTCAGAGTTAACTCTCCAGTCTTGTAACTCTTGTCCATTCTCTGATCCTGTGTGCTTTTACACTTGCCAATCCCTAACCTAAATGCCTTTCTTCCAATTCAGATTTTAGCTTTTTTTTAAAAAAAAAAAAACAAAAAAACTAAACCAAATTTAATCTCATCTAGAAGCATTTTCCTGATGGTGGCCCTTACAGATCTTTCTGTCCTTGAAATTATACCTTTTAGAAACAGAATGTTATCATTTAGCATTTATTTTTTTCTTTTACTGTTTACCGTGTATTGGTAATGGCTGTCTAACTAGATTGTATAAGCAAAAGTGATATGACATAGGACTTTACTTTTAGACATTATTAAATTGAAATTCCCATGAACGTTTAAAGGGGGTAATTTTGGTGGTGTGCTTATCAAATCCACAAATGACATGATTCTAAGAGGGTGGCAGATTTCAAAAATGACAATTTTCGTGTCCTCCTACATGTAGGACCTTGGAAAGTGATTTTGAATGTTCTTTCATCAAGAGATAGAGTTTATTTTTCCAACCTTCAATGTTGCTGGCCTTGGGATTTATTTTGGCCAATAGAGTGTGGGGCAGGTGATGATGTGCCTGTCCTGAGCTGAGGACTCAGGGGGCCTTCTTATTTCATTTGCTGTCATGGGATTCCCTCCCTTTCCCAGGCTAGCCTGTTGGAGAATGAAAGGTCATGTAGAGCTGAGACTAGCCATCACAGCTGAGGTTGTTCTAGACCAACCAGCTCCCAACTGACCACAGATGCATGAGTGAGCCCAGTTAAGTCTAAAAGGACATTGAGCTGAGTCCAAACTAACTACTGACACATGGAATTAGAAGCAAAGTTGCTATTTGAAAATTCACTAAGTCTGGGGTGGTTTACTATATGGCAAAAGTTAATGGATACAAAGGGAATATAAAAAATGTCAGATGGCAGAATCTCAATCCTAAAAGACTTCAGCATTCTAGAATAATAAACCACACAATTAAGACAAAAATAACTGTGATAAGTGCAAAGCTCTAAATTCAAGTTAAAAAAAAATCAACTTGTGAATATAGGAAAGCAGAGATAGAGCTTGCCAACATACATGCAAAACATTTAGTCACTTTGATTGACCACAAGCCTCTGACTCAACCTTGTGTTTCCATTCTTCCAACAAAACTAATTCTACATAAAAAGTAATTTTATACTGTGTGAATTGTGTAGAGGCTAAAATAGATCAGTCTAGAGGGCAGTTACCATGATGCTGAAGGGCCCAAAAACCATCTCACATAAGGAAAATTGGAAGGCAATGAACTGTAAATCCAGTAGAAAGACTGAAAGGGTCGAGTGGGTTAGATAGCTACCTTCAACTAATTTAAGAGTTACCATGTGGAAAACGGATTGGACAAGTTTAGTGTCAGCCCACTAAAAATCAAGACCCAAGAATGGAAGCTATAAGAAGGTAAATTTAAGGTCAACATAGGAAGGAAGTTGAGTTAGAGAGGCTGCATTTGTATACTGTTTATGAACGTAGACCATGGTGTCAAAACCAGGTCCTCTACTTACCAGCTATGTGTTCTTGGGTAAGCTGCCCAACCTTGCTAAGCATCAGTTTTCTCATCATTAATTCCACTAAAATGGAATTAATAACTGTACCATTTTATAAGGTTGTGATGAAGATTAAATAGGATTTTTGAAGATGCACTTAACTTGGGATCTGACACATAGTAAGCACTCAATAAATTTTATTTATTATTATTCATAATAAGATCTGTATAAATGTGAAATGAGCTGCCTCACAAGGCAGAAAGTTCCCTATCACTGGAGGTATTTACAAGAGGATTGGCTGATGTTTATAGAACAGATTTAAGAAACAGATGGGAGGTTAGAGTAGGTGACATTTAAATGACCTTCCAGCACTGAATAAGTCTGTCTGTATTCCTTAAGACTGGAATAACTTCTTTAGTACGTTTCAGAATACCTAGCACTATTGATCAAATGATATGGATGTAATACATTTGATAAAACTTTGTGGGTTATAACATTATACATGTGGTTTCCCCATAGTAAGAGGTGTTCCGTGCCGAAATGAAAGTTTGTGAGGATTTTGATTTTTTTGTATCTCATATCCTCAAGAAGTGTATCATTGAAGTTTGTTTTTGTAATGATCAGTTTTGACTAAAACCCAAAACTACAATTTTAATGCAATAAGCTCTTCTTTGTGTGGTATTTAAATTCCTAGGTGCAAAGCTCTTATCTTTTCACACTTGGCATTCCCCTACCAGAATGCCTAAAAACAGGTCAGATATTTTCAAGGCATAGGAAGCCTGGGTTTCTTCCGTGATTGGTCTCATATCAAAAGTCAAGCTGGAGTCAATAACCATTTTTCCTTCTCTTTATACATACAGCAACTGGAAGTGCTAATCACATTTATCACTCTTGCCTACTAAAGGCACAGCAGGCAGTTCTAACTCCCATTGCAATTCTCTTTAATAAAATAGATTGGGTAGAATCACCTAAATTGTTTAATATGCCTATCTTCCTCAATAATCTCATTGTTATCAGTTAATAGAGAGGAATTCACACTGGCCAAGGCTTGAGTCTTTATGGTCTCAACTGATAAAAATCTTTCCTTTCCTTAAGATGAGTTTCAGCATAGTAAGAGGCATTAATCATCTGTAAGAAAAAGAAGTGCTTTATTTTCCTCATTAATGAAGTTAAGAGTCTGGTGCTCTGGCTGGAGAATGAAAAAATACACAAGTGAGAAGAAGAGTTCTGAATTCTAGGTTTGAATGAGCTCTGCATTCTGAGTACGTGGTGACATGAATAGACAAGGTATTCACAGGCACAAGCCGGATTTCTGGACCATGCCATGCCTAGTATGTGCCACATATTCAAGGCAAAGATTAGAGACACACTCATTACTCAGAGGAGACAATCACGTGCTATTTCAACTGAGTGAGAGCAATGCTGCAATAAAAGAAAGTGCAAGGTACAGTTTTAACCCAGAACAGAGGTTCTAGCAGTGGAGGAAAAGGAGCGGAAGTGAATTGTAAGATAGATTTTTTAAAAGCAAAACGAACTAGGCAAGAACAAGCAGAAGGAGCAGTGTGAACAACAGTACCGAGTTGTGAAGTTGAGACTGGGGTACAGCATTGGAGGGAATGGGCAGTGGGCACTGAGGCCAGAGGGGTAGATACATCCCACATGTCTCCCTCTGCCATCCAGAGGTGTGGACCAACTCAGAAGCCAATGGATGCCATTCCACATCTTAGTGGAGAAAGTAAGTTGATCGTATTTACAACTTGTATGCAGTGTCCAGATGAGAGATGATGAGGGCCATAAACAGAGAATTCATAATGAGGAAGGAAACTGTGAGATTGAAGGACCATGCACCATCTCAGTTTGGTGGCTAACTGAATTCATGAGAGAGAAAGGAATTGTGGATGACACCCAGACATATGGCCTGAATTGCTGGGTAGAAGACAGGACAGGACCATCCACTGAGGGAGAAACAGAACATTCATAGAGCACGAGAAGCAGAAGGGAAAGAGAAGCTAACTAGTTTGGTTCTGAACAGGCTGAGTAAATGAACCAACAGAATAAAGACAACTGCTCAAAGAGAGAGAGTTGATTTACCAAAAAAAAAAAAAAAAAAAAAAACAAAAAAAAAACCACAACCAGCACTTTGGGAGGCCGAGGCAGGCGGATCACCTGAGGTCAGGAGTTTGAGACCAGCCTGACCAGCATGGGGAAACCCCGTCTCTACTAAAAACACAAAATTGGCCAGGTGTGGTGGTGCATGCCTGCAATCACAGCTACTCGGGTGGCTGAGGCAGGAGAATTGCTTGAACCCAGGAGGCAGAGGTCGTGGTGTGCCAAGATTGTGCCATTGCACTCCGCCTGGGCAATAAAAGCAAAACTCTGTCTCAAAAACAAACAAACAAACAAACAAACAAAAAACAAAAAAACACAAAGTGCACCAGGGACGGAACACTGGGTAACAGAAAATTGCAGGTATTGTTGTAAGAGAGACCAAGAAGGTCAGATGAGAATTAGAATGGTCTGCTCTCACAAAACCCAAGAGAGGAACAACTTTCCAGAAGAGGGCAATTAAGTCAAATGCTGTGAAGATCAAGTCAGAGAAGAATTGGAATGTATTCTTTGGGTTTGGCAGTTAGGGGTTTCCTACTGATCCTGGCAAGATCACCTTCAGTGGTGCTGAGAATGAAGGAAACAACTTCCTTTCACAAAGCATGAGAACATTTTCATTTTCTCTTTTCTCTCTCTCTCCCTGTTTTTTTTTTTTTTTTTTTTTTTTTAAGATGGGGTCTCACCATGTTGCCCAGACTGGAGTGCAGTGGCTGCTTTCAAACAATCCTCCCATCTCAGCCTCCTGAATAGCAGGGATTACAGGCGCACATCATAGGGCTCAGCTTCTATTTTGTTTTAATCTCAACATAACATCTCTTATGGCTGATTCTTTTTGAAACTCCTTAGTGTAAAAATTGTAGTTTCTGACTTTTCCAAATGAATAGAGCCTTTTAAGAGTTATCATTCTGTAAGCAACTGTCTTTTAAGGTAAAGTTAAATTTTTCAGTAAGGAATTCATTAGAGAGGTTTTAGAAGGCATGTAATAAAAAGCAACCTGAACCCAAGTAATCAGAAAACATGGATCTCGGATTCATCAGTGTGAGAATTTCTTTCCTTTCGTTTTTCTGCCACTCCCTCTCCTTAACAAGCAGCTAAGATGTAAAAAGAATTGCGCTTGGTGCTTTGGGGACACTAATGAGTAGAGCACGATCCTGCCCCACTTCAGCCCCTAGCCAAGGAGATTACAAGCCAGTGCAAAAGACAGATGTGCAA